ACTTGTCTTCTCCCTCCAACGCAACCGCACATCCTTGTTGAACCAGAAGTGCCCTCATCTTGACCTTCCAGAGCGTGAAGTCATTCGACCCATTAAACTTCTCCAGATCAAATTTATACGAGGACATCTTCAATCAATGGGATATGGCTCTGATACCACTTGTTATGAGAAAACGAGAAAGAAAGCAAATAAAGAACACAGAGGTTTTACGTGGTTCGGTGACGGTGTGTCAACCTACGTCCACTGGCAGGAACCGGAGAGATTTTATTATACTGATTCAGAGATTTACAATGTGTCATCCGACTAAGAACCATAGTTGTCTATTTATAAGCATCCCAAAACACCCTAAACCCTAAGCCCATTTGTTATTAATTAAGATAAGCCCAAAAGGAACCCTGCCAATTGAAACAGCCCTTTCGCTTTGGTTTAGGATCGGGTAGACCGCTAAATCCAAGTCACGTTTCAACAATTTTTTTCCTTCAAAAACATCAAATCAAACACCTATTTTTTATTTTTTATATTATACTAAAAATCAATTTTACATTCAAAACATCACATCAACACCTATTTATATCACATCATACAACTATTCAAATTCAAAATTTTTATTATTCAAATCTCAACTCAAAATCCAATCCCCCAAATAAACACACCCTTAGAAAAGAAGGGAAAGTATAGCGAGGGAAAGAGAAATCAAAATAGTCATGTGTTTGTTGTGAGTTTGGATTTTTGGGTTTGAATTTTTTAATATTAAAAATTGAATTTAAATAGTTGTTCGATGAAATATAATAAATGTTCGATGTCAGATTTTAAATTGTAAAATAAATTTAAAATATAATATAAAAAAAATTGTTTGATTTGATATTATTTTTTTTTTAAAAAAAATTGTTTAGCAAAATTCAGTGGTAAAATTCATAAAAGAACAATTTTGGATGATTCCAATAGTGTTTTCGGTGAGTAATCAAAATCTTTTCTTTGTCGGTTGTTTTCAATGGATGTCAAATTTTAGAGTGTCAGTCGAGCTCTATTTAGAGGCATGATTACCATAGATTATTTCACCTTGATTCAAATTTTAATGTTATGAATTTATACCCGAATAAAGATATTAATTGATATAACCTGTCAATTTGATTATAAATCGACAATTGATAGTAAACTTGAAAAATTTTTGCTCAAAAAAACATACATTTTCTAACAATATCACAATAGATATATATTTTTTTCGTCATTTAACAATTTATTTATTTTTTTATTTTGATTCGTCCCATAACAAAGTTCTATTTGGAACGTTCAATTATAAAGTAAATATTTTATTAAATATCTCATTTTTTTCCCTATAAATACTCTTAATTTACATCACATCGTTACTTTTTCACCAAAAACCAAAGACAAAAATATCATTACATTACTTTTAACTACTCTCTATAATTAAAATAATATTATTTTTTAAACACCGCACCAAAAGTAAATGTCTACTTTGTATGTGGACGGAGGGAGTAAATGTTACTACCTTTATATCATACAATACTAGTAAGATTAATTTAATTTTTTTATCTTTATTTTTACTGTATCTCAATATAATACTAATATTTCTAAAACTTAAAAAGCAAATGAATATATATAGATATGAGACGGATAATATAATTTTTCTTACAAAATACTCCATCCGTTCCAGAACTATAGTCTGTGTTGTGTTTGACATTGAATTTAAGAAATATTGATATTATATTAGTAGTGGATAAAAAGTAAAGGTAAAAGACTTTTTGCCCTTGTGAGTATATTAGTGTAAACAGTAGTGACAATTGTGTAATAATAATGAAAAAGTAAAGGTAGTTTTATAGTGATATGATTATTTATAGAAATGAGACTATTGTTTCACGACAGACAAAAATAGTAAACAACTATTGTATTGGGACGGATGAAGTATTAAATCAAATATTTATTTTCTTTATTTTGTATTTCAAACTTTTAGGGTGTGTTTGTTTATGGGTTTGAGATTTTGGATTTTGATTTTTGAATAGTAAAGCATTAAATTTAAATAATTGTTTGATATAATATAAATAAATATTGATGTAATGTTTTGAATTTAAAATAAATTTATAGTATAAATAAAAAATAATAATAAGTTGATGTGACATTCGTTTTTAGAGATGTAAAACCACAAAAAACACAACCTTAAAATTTGAAAATTTTCCAAAAACGAAATTTAGTCAACGAAACCTATAAACACTCCAAAACATGTAACCGATGAAGAACAGCTCTGCCATAGCAAAGCTCCCCATCACCAAATTCTCAACATTAACCACGTCCCCCACCCCCACCCCCACCCCCTTCCCGTACCTCTCCATCATCGCCGCCGCACCGCCGCTCTTCACCACCCATTCCAACGCCGGAGACACCATCCCTGCCGCCTCCACCGCCGCCGCCTGTACCAGCCCGTTCAGACACGCGTCCAGATTCACTTCCGCCGTCTCAATTCTCCTTCTAATATTCCGCGTCCAGTATAATACTAATATTTTTAAAATTTCGTGAAAAACAAACGGATAGATAAATATGAGACATAAAGAGAATATTTTTTATTATAAATTATAAATAAAGGTATAAACAATTTTATGTTATTTATTTTTTTAAAAATTTTAATATCATCACACATACATAGTAATATATATTCCCTCGTATCCATTTTAAAGGGTGATTTAAAAATTTGTAATAAATTAAAAAAAAAATACTTCATCCGTTCCACTTATCGTGTTCATCTTTTCATTTTCGTCTGTTCTATTTATTCTTTCACTTTCTGTTGGGGAATAAATGTTGCACCAAAATTCCTTCGACTACCTATTTAAGGGCCAACTCCCGAAACGTAATTATATTACAGTTATAACAACATCTTGTCAACGAAATAAATGCAGTGGCTAAAACAATAAATGACAATATATTTGGTTACCCGGTTCGTTATAACCAACCTACGTCCGGGATATTCAAATCCATGAGTAGTTCACTAATCAATATTGATTAAGAACAAAAATAACCAAAACTCCTTGAACCCATACTACAATACTGGTTACTTAGGAAAACTCTTCCACAGGTATACATCGTCACAAACGCATACTGACAACTACCAAATAACACGGTTGCTTAGAATTTGGATGTCTCCCCTATCGGAACTCTGATTTCTCCTTCCTCCGATGAGGTCTCCGATAGGTAAAAGTGTCTAACACTCACTCAATACATGGAGAATAGAATAGTTGGGGTTGAGATGATTGAACACACTTTCTCTCACTACACACGCCTCTCAAAACCCTCGCAACAACCAACTCTCAAAACACACCTTATTATAATGTAGCAGTCATGGACTTGACATGTGCAGTCAGCAATTAATTCCCCTTGGTACAGAAATTGTATTGTGTATCTCAGTATAAAATATATTCTCAAGTTAACCACAAAAATTAGTCTATTTTTGTCTTGTTTGCTTCACCAACCGAAAGAGTGTAAAACAAACAATGTTGCTGACGGTCTGTGTTGCAGCAGTCATACAAGACCTGTTACTACAAATGAAAATCTGAAAGACAGCAGCAGAAAGACGAAGTGACCATATGCCAAAAATAGACGGAGAGAATTATGTTCCAACATTCTCCCCTTTTTGGCATATGGAACTTCTCCCAATAACTCGCGCACTAAACCAATCAATCAAGTAATTAAGACACTAAATTCATCAATTTGTTACAGGCCAAAATAAAGCATAGAATACAAGCAGTCTTTCGAATGAGGTGGTTATCATAACAACAAATACACAACCACTTAATCAGTTAATCAAAACACCAAAATAGATCACAAGCAACATCAGCATAAACAAAAGAACAGACTCCCCCTTAATGTGTACATCTCTCCCCCGCGATGAGCAGATGCCAAAAAGCGACAAAATGACGGATTAAAAGGATGGAGAATCCTCTTCTTCATCAAGCACCGATCCAATTTTCGATGCTATGCATTTGAATGCAAGAGCAAGCCGGATACGGCAGAAGTTAATATGACACCCTTGGAAGAAGAGACCAATCCATGCCAGCCTTAGATGACAAGAGCCTACATTGCTGTTTTTTGGATTAGAGAAGCCAACAGTCACATCCGATAAGGCAAGTTACACTACGCGAACCATGTGTATCAGACAAGACTTGAAGATTTCGGAGTTTGAATCCACGACCTCACGATCACGAGTCCGTCCCCACACACTAGACCATCCGACTAAATTTTCCTAAATTTTGAGATTATATTTTATGATAGTTATAGTCAGGGAATCAACAGATGATCCATTTTTCTTTTTTTCCGTTCCATTAAAGATGATCTTTTTCTATTTTTAGTAAATTTATTCATCTTAAACATATTTAACAAATATAAATCAATTTAATTAAATTTCTAACCTCTTACACTTAGGACTCATTTAAAACTCATTTATTTCTATCTCTCTCCTCAATATATAAATATTTTTATCTATATTTAAAACTTCTTATTTTTAATTAAATTAGTTTTAAGTTAATTATAAATAAATAAATAAATTTTTTTTATTTATTTGTATTATATAAAATTTTATTCTCTATAAAATATATCCATATTGTATATATTTTATTGATACATAATGGTAAAAATATTTAAAATTTCAACAATACTACTCATATAAAAATAATATCATAATTTATTATCAATAACTTATTAATCTACACTACATAAAATACCATGTCTTTAAACAAATGTGTCATCTTGACCGGGACGGAGGGAGTATTGGTGTGTTTGTTTGGGGGTTTGGATTTTAAATTGGGATTTGAATAGTAAATTTTTTGAATTTGAATAGTTGTATGATGTGATATAAATAGGTGTTGATGTGATGTTTTGAATATAAAAACTGATTTTTAGTATAATATAAAAAATGAAAAATAGATGTTTGATTTGATATTTTTTAGAAAAAAAAAAGAGATAATAGTGGAAATCTAATCAACTCCCCCAAACAAACACACTAATATTTAGGGAGACTCTTATTATTATTATCATTATCTTCGCACAAAATCCGTACAGCTCTTCTTAATTATTGCTCAGTTGGGGGGTGGGGTGGTGTGGGGTGGGGTGGTTCACTGCTGTACAGAAGTGTAGTGAATGTAGTAATCTCTTCATCTTCAATGGCAGTGATGTTTCCTGAAGCAAGAAGTTGAGACAACCTCTCACTCAGACCATCTACTTCTTTCTGCAGTTTCTCTATATAATTGCACGTCTCTCTCAACACCTTCCATGCAGATTCTGCACATTCTGATTCTGATGATTCCTATGAATCAATCGTGAAATAATATATATATATACATATAACATGTACGTATTTAGTTTTTGAAAAAACTAATAATGATTTTTATATATCACCAGAGCATGCACAAATTAATTAGTTAATTATATTAGAGCCGGTAAAAATTGACCTGACACAAAATAATTGGGTTTGGGTCAAATATTTCAATCTGATTATGTATACGGGTTGACACGAAGCCGACACGATAATAAACGGATCGGATTAGGGTTGAGGCTCTCAATTCGAACCCGACACGACAACATGGTTATAATATATTAATATTGATTAATATATTTATTATATATAATAAAATAATCATAAATTAATTTAAACTAAGTTCAATTTTAAATAATTCAACCTAATTTACGCTCAAACCAATAAAAACTAACATAACACGACAACAAAATAACAAATTATTTAATTTGAATCAAGAAATTAGACTTAATTATGTAAGGGTCAACACGAGTCAACCCGAACCCGACACGATAATAAACGGGTCAGGTTAGGGTTAAGTAATTTAACCCGTTCAAAGTATTCAACCCGACACGAATCGACCCATTGCCGGCTCTAGACTATATTGTTACGATCCTACAAACCCTAATTATATTGATGGAAGTTAATTATGTCGAAAGAAACAAAGTAAGAATAGAGACATCATTTGGAAACAATAAATTGCTAGACAAATGCTGAAAATATTAGATAGCTTTGGGAGGAAACGATATATTGATTAAATAATTGATATAAAAATGAGATAATGAATCGAATAATAAATGTTACAATAAATATATATTTTTTATATTTAACTAATGATATTTTATTTGAATAGTAATTTAAATGGGATGTGTTATAACTAAAATAATTTATTTTTATAAAAAAAATTGTAAAAGTTAAATAGTCAAAAAAAAGATAATACTTTTAAATTTCAATTCTTTGTCTTTCCCTACAAATAACAAATAAATGAAATTAGAGGATAAGAAATTATTTGATTTTCAACTGTCAATTGTTTGATTCAATCAAACAAAATAAATGAAACTATATTCATTTCTCATTATGAGATATTTTAAATATTCAGTTTTAGATTTAGTAGATTTATATTTAGATTTGATCTTATTCATATATTAGATTACTTATATTTGAGTCTATCGAGTCGGTTTTGTATTACCTATATATAGACTCCTTATTTTGATGATCAATATGATCATTCTAAAATTTCTATCACTCACGTTCATTCATTTATACCAAACATACCCTTAATATTAGTTAGTTCTAAGATAAAGTTCGGATCTTGTTAATATGGTATTACAATCATGGTGTCTGTATTAAATATTGATCATAATTAGAATTTTGAGATGATATCATCCGGAATAAAGAGTATTGAATAATGGTAATAATCATGGTGTAGACTATGGTTGAATTTGAAAAGATGAGGTGAAATATGGTTAAAAAGAAAGATAAATATATATATATATATATAATTAGAATTTAAAATTTCATTTTAAAATTAAATTAGATAATTATAAAGAAGAAAAATATAAATTACAAGTTAAAGTTTAATTTTAAAATTTAAAAATAATAATGAATAATATTTTAAAATATGAATCATCTATTAATTAAGGGTCATGAACATTTATTCATTATGTTGTTACTAAGAGCCCGTAGAATCATTATGTTGTTACTAAGAGCCGCTTCTACCATATGACATGTACTAAAATTAAGGGTAAACTGTTTTTTTTAGTCCCGAAACTGGACTCCCTTATCATTTTAGTCCCGTAAGTGGAGCCTGTCGCAAACTAGTCCCATAAGTGAAAAATTTTCGCTGTTTTAGTCCTCCGACACTGGAGACGCCCGCGTGGCTCGTCAGAGGTGACGTGTCCGCCAGGTGTCCCGCCAAGTTAGCGACACCTGGCGGACACGTGGATAAATATTTTTTTTTTAATTTTTTTTATTGGACCAAATAAAAAAAAGAAAACGATGCAAATAAAATTAAAAATAAATTAAAAAAATAAAAAAAAAATATTAATCCACGTGTCCGCCAGGTGTCGCTGAGCTGTCCGCCAGGTGTCCTGCCAGGTCAGCGACACCTGGCGGACACGTCACCTCCGGCGAGCCACGTGGGTGTCTCCGGCGCCGGAGGACTAAAACAACAAAAAATTTTCATTTATGGGACTAATTTGCGACAGGCTCCACTTACGGGACTAAAATAATAAGGAGGTCCAGTTACGGGACTAAAAAACAGTTTACTCTGAAATTAATGATAACATATCATATATCATTATTATTATTATTATTATTATTATTATTATTATTATTTTATTTTTTTGATCGGATATTATTATCATTATTATGTCTTGCCGGTCATTGTATTATTTAACATGCAATTTTATATATGTAATTGGGTGCACTTTTATGACGTGTTGATTAACCATAATTAAAATCGTAACTACTATTATATATATATGGCATATATCTCAAAATAAAAAATATATACTCTTTAACAACGTTTTTTTAAATTTTTATTATTTAAACTCGGCATTTTTTGAATTTTCTTCTCATAAAACATTATTTAAATACAAACCCTAAATCAATTTTTTTCAAACCAAAGCGATAGAAATAGATCCAAACACAGTCTCACAATCTCTTGCTAGTAAAGTTCAAACCTTACCCTAATGCCATTGTAGCTTGAACCAAGATTAGGCAAAAATGGCTGCAGCTTCAAGATGAGATCATTGATCTCCTGCTTTGTAAGTCTCGATGAATACGACGACGGCGACGACGACGACGGCGACGACGACGACGACAAAGATCTTCTGTTTGACATCACATACACACAGAGAAATGCAGATATACATTTTACAGAGTGTACTGAGGGACTGAGGTTCTTTAAAAAGGAAACAATGCTGAATTTCTTTTTTTTTTTTTTAAAAAAAGGAAAAGAAAAAGAAACAACAAAGGGTTGCCAACGGTAGCAATTAAAGGAAAATTTAATATGGGCAGGGCCCCGTTTTCCTAACACTTAGTCTTTTATTATTGGAGCTATTATTTTTTTTTTGTCATTTTCCCTATCTCTCTTTAAAAAGTTTTGGTTAAATATTAGGGTATTTAAAAATTTGTTGAAATAGTAATTTGATTTTATATTGTTACGAGAAAAAAAATACTTTTTATTTAAAAAAAATCATACAAATTGAATAGTGCAGAATATGCTTAGAAATAATAATAATAATAATAATAATATAATAATAATAATAATGGAAAAAATATTTTTGATCCAAATATAACTAAAATTCATCAATTTTGGTCCAAATATAAAAATCTTATCAATTTTGGTCCCAACATAACCAAAACTCATCATGTTTTGTCATAATATAATTTTTTTTTTTTTATCAATTTTAGTTATAATATAACTAAAACTCATCATTTTTTATCCCAATATAATCAAACCTTATCTTTTTTGGTCCCACCGTCAACAAACCGACTGAAAATTTGTGCAATTTCTTCAAATATAAATATAAGGTTTGATTTCTTTTAACGTCAGCATTTTCCGTCGGTTTGTTGACGGTGTGGGACCAAAAAAAGATAAAGTTTGATTATATTGGGACAAAAAAATATAAGGTTCGATTATATTGGGACAAAAAATGATGAGTTTTGGTTATATTGGGACTAAAATTGATAAAAAATTTATATTGGGACAAAAAATGATTGAGTTTTGGTTATATTGAGACCAAAATTGATAAGATTTTTATATTGAGACCAAAATTAATAAATTTTGGCTATATTCGGACAAAAAACTGATATTTTCCCTAATAATAATAAACAAACAAATTTTACTTCCAACTCCGGAAGAGTTTTATTTTATGCGGCTGCAACTCTCTCAAAATTGATCTATAAATTTAGGAAAACAATTTGAGAGTTTTGGAGTTATCAAAATTAGGAAATAGTAAAAAAAATGAATTTATTTGGCTTTGATTTGAAATTTGAGTGGTAATTTAAATTCTGATTTAAATAATATTTTAATATGATATTTTGTAAAAAAAAAATAGTATATTGTTATTGAAAATCGTATAAAATTGTTAGAATATTTATTATTGATTTTTTTATTTTATTGTTTGTTTTTATCCGTTTTGGACTATGTCTATAAATAGGTCCCGACTATATTATCAATGCAATTAATTATTTTCTTTCTAAAATTTCACACGTATTAGAGCTACTAGATCGAAATCTTGTTCATCAACTTCCAGTGATCATCTATTCTCACCTCCGGCACCATCGTATTCCCCGTCGTCCAGCGACCCTTCGCCGGACAAATCCCGCCGATCGGTGGCGCCTGTAGGTCACACGTGCTAGTCAACTCTCATGCCGTCGGAACTTTGACCGGCACGTGAGAGTCAACCCCGACAATAATCGTCGTCGTTTTTCGTCTTTCGCCTCATCTCTTCGTCCTCTACGTCGTGGTGTGATCCAATTTTATTTTTGTGACAGTTTTATTTTTTAATTTTTTCTATCATGTTTCTTTAATATGCCGGTAATCGTATTATGGCGGTAGAGTGTCACTATTGATATTGTCAAAATCATGTCATTCAGAATTTTCGTGTTAGACCACCTCAAAATGCGTAAAATATTCAATCGTCTTATCAGTATGCATCTGCAATCATTCAAAATATTGTAACTCTCATGCATAAGTTTTTGCCTCTCGTTCCTCTCATGTCATGGCCAATTCATGTAGTTCTAAGTGGTATTTTAATTCTAATTGTTATAATCATATGAAACCTACACTTGGTCTCTTGACCGATGCATATCACGTGTCTTCTTTATCGCCTATAAAAATTGCTAATGGAAGCTGCATGGATATCACTCATTCAAGATATGTATGTCTACAATCTATATATCTACCAAATACTTACTGCATTCCTCAGTTGACTCTAAATCTTATATCAGTTAGCCAATTAATAAACTAGGGAGTTACTGTTACTTTCTCCTTTTCAGATGTGCAGGTTCATGATCAACATACGGGTCAAATTTTTAGGACAGTTCGAAAGCTGGGTTGACTATTTGAGGTATAGTCTTTGAAAATCTCTCTCCATAATTTTTCTGTTCTACTCATACCCCTTTACCGCCATTTCTTCCCTTAGTCTTCAGTGGCACATTCGTCTTGGTCATGTATTTTACTCTAAAATTAAGTCTCTTGTTAGTAAGACTCATTTGGGTTCTACTAATTTTGAATAATTTGATTGCTTACACTGTTATTTGGGAAAACTACCAACCTTATCTTTTTCAAAAAATATGTCGATCGCAAGTAAACGATTTCTCTAGTTCATTCTGATATTTGTGATCCTTCTCTTGTTGTCTCTATGAGTGAGTATCATTATTATATCATATTTAGAGATGATTAATCCCATTTTACATGGATATATTTTTTGAAATACCGCTCAGAATCATCTCAAATATACACTCAATTTTCTCAAATAATTAAACTTGAGTTTTCCTGCTCCATACAGATCATTTGTACTGATAATGCCTTGAGTATAGATATTCTACCTTGTTAAGCTTTCTCTCTGATCAAGGTATATTGATTCAACGTTCATGTCCATACACCTCTCAACAAAATGATCACGTTAAGCGCAAACATCGTCATATTATAAATATTGTATGTGCGTCTCTTTTATTTGCCTTTTGTCCTGATAGGTTTTTGGGTAAGTTGCCCTTATTGTTGTCTATACCACAAATCATATTTCATCATTTGTCCTCCATAATAGTACTCATTTTGAATGTCTATATGGTCAGCCACCCGATTATAGTATCATTCGTTTCTTCGGTTATATCGGTTTCGTTCTTATCCCTTCATGAACGTTCTAAATTAGAACCTCGTGGGCATTCATGTTGTCTTCTTGGTTATGAGATAGAGCATAAAGGTTATAGACTTTTGGATTCGATCTCTAAACGGTTGTGTATATCTCGTTGTGTTACCTTTTAGAAGAGTGTAATGTTTTCCATCCTGTCTAAATTTCATATTTAATCTATTTCTGGTTTATTTTCATTCATGTTGTCATGTCCTTCTTTGTTCTCTTATTATCCTAGGACTCCATCTCCACCTCTAGATCTTGTTCCAATTAAGACTTATGATCCACCTCCGACCTCGTCTCCAGATGTTGATCCTACTGCGGTGCCTGGACCTGTCATACCTCGTCGATCACATCGAGTAAGTTATCCACCTACTCATTTGCGTGATTATCATTATTTTTCTACTATCCTATCTCTACATGAGCCCAGGTCATTTCATGAAGCAAATTCTAATCCGTTGTAGCGACAAGCGATGTCTGAAGTTAGTTGACTTACCTCTAGATAAAAACACCTATTGGGTGCAAATGTGTTTTTAAGATTAAAACTAAGTCTGATGGGTCAGTTGAGCGTTAAAAACTCGTTTAATTGCGAAAGCCTACTCACACGAATATGACATTGATTACGATGACCTTTGCTCTGGTGGCACGTCTTACCTCGGTTCGCTGTTTAATTGCAATTGCAATTATTCGTAAGTGGTCTCTCTCGCAATTGGACGTCAAGCATGTCTTTCTCCATGGTGATCTATCTGATGATATTTATATGGAATTGCCTTTAAATTTTTCTTTTTCTTCTAAAATCTGTAAGTTGCGGCGTGCTTTCTATGGCTTGAAACAAGCTCTATGTGTTTGGTTTTCTAAATTCAGTTCAACTCTTCAAATAAATTTGGTCCTCTATGAAAATTAAGAAAAATAAATAATTTATTGAAAAAATTTAGTTTAGGGTATTTTTAGAAATTTAGTTAGAAAGTAAAGTAAATGAAGAGAGAGTGTGTAATAAAGTTAGTGGTATTTGTTTTAAATAAGTGTTGAACTAAGGGTAATAATTAAATATTGATTTTTTTACTTTGCCAAAATTAGTAATGGAATAAATTTATATGACGGACTAAAAAAATGAGAATAAATTCTACGGACGAAAATAGTATTAAATAATACTTTTTTATTAAAGAATAAAATATATATTGGAATTGTATCGTTAAAATTGAGTAGGGAACAAACATCTAACCATAATATTAATTTTACCAAAATTAAGTGAATTAATAATAGGACATGATGTATTATATTGTAGATTAACTTTGGATTAATATATTTTTTTATGTTAAGAATAGAGAATCGTGTTATTAATATTAAAAATAATACTCCCTCCGTCCCAGAAAATGTGTCCATGTTCCTGTAGACACGGGAATTTATGTAGGAATAATTAGTTAGTGTAATTATATTATTAAGCGATGTATTAAAAAATATATATAAATTACATATGAAAATTAAAGAGGCCCACGTGGGTTGTGCAGTCCAAAAGTAAAAAGACAACAGTCTAATCAAAATCAATACACTTATACATTTACATACCCTAAACACACACAATCTGTTTCAATACATTAAACATGCCAAATTTTAGGATAAAATATTCCCTCAAAACCATGACAAAACAAGCTGAAAATTTCTCTCCAATCCGTGTCAAATATTGCCTAAATCAAAAACTAATAAATACAACAATCAGTATGTTCACACCATTTTTACTTTCACATAATCAAGCCACATTAAATCACTAAACACCACATCTTATCTCAATAACCAAAAAAGTTCTTACTATTGCAGAATTGAACAAGATTGTTTAATCTCTGTTCGGAACATGCAACGAATGATTGGAGTTGGACAAGGGAAGAGTCACATAAACAACAAAATTATTCAATTGTTCTGTACAGACAGTGCGAAGACATTGGAAAGCTGCAAAAGAGCAAATTCAAAAAGGTGAGACTATTAGTATAAACATGAAGAAATATGTGGTCCGAAAAGATAAGATGACACCAAATTTGAATGAAAAAGAAAGTTTACCGTTGATACAAAGATCTTCTATTAGAAATATGGCAAATGGCCTACAAACATCGAAATCAACTGTCTACGGATGGATAAAAAAAAAAGCATATTAGGCCGCATACAAGTGCAATCAGGCCAGAGTTGACTGATGCTAACAAACTCGCAAGGTTGTCTTATTAATACAAGCATTAGATGTTCATAGGTGTATTGAAAATGCATCTTTTCAAAATATGCATAATGTAGTACACATTGATGAGAAATGGTTCTATATGACAAATGTCACATATCGATATTACTTGACTCCTATAAAACAAAAGCAAAAAATTCATTACAAAAGTAATGTTCATGTATGTTGTTTCACGCCCTATATGGGATCAAGATAGGAATTTATTGTTTGATGAGAAAATAGGAATTTTTTCATTCACAGAACAAGTTCCGGCCAAAAGATCAAGCAAAAATCGAGTGGTCGACACTTTAGAGACTAAACCAGTTCAATCCGTGACAAAGCAGGTTACCAAAAGTTGTTTAATTAACCAGGTAAACTTTATTTTTCAACATAGGAGATATAAAATGTGAGAAAACATAGTGTTGATGTCTTCTATTCTCTTAATTATAATAGAAGATAATCGGTTTCTCTAATTCATTGTTGCATTCCAAAATAACAAAATGTATGCAGGCTTATGTATGCAATTTATGTGTCTATTTTCTACATGCAGATTATCCCAGCCATAAAAGAGAATGGCCACCTAATTTTTCAAAACGCATATTGATACAACAAGACAATGCAAAACCACATATTAAAGGTGATGATGCAGACTTTGTTCGTGCGGAAAATACATATGGTTTCAACATAGTTCTTATCCAACAACCACCAAACTCTCCAGACATGAATGTAAACGATCTATGATGGTTTCGTGCAATTCAAAGCTTGCAAACTGAAAAATCATGCAAAAGTGTCACCGAACTACTGGATGCTATGGATTCTAGCTTCAAATAATTGACACCACAATGTTTAAATAAAGTATTTTTAAGTTTATAAAATTGCATGATTGAGGTAATGAAAGTAAAAGGAGGAAACTCTTACAAGCTCCCGCATTTGAAAAAATAGAGCTTGTTGAGAGTTGGGAATCTTCTTAATCAACTAATTATTTCAATGTAACTAGTGCATGAATGCATTCAATATCTAATAGAAAAAAGGGCTGCCAATGGAATTGAAAAGGTTATGTATGACCTAGGTTATTAGAGATAACAATATGTGAATGATAAAACTTTTGTAAGTTTCTAAAGGTTACTATAACTGTGAAAATAGATCAAAGCAGATTATTTTGTAAATGTTTTGTAAAAATGTTTTATGAAATGATGAAACAGTATGTATTTGGGCACGTAATGTTAATGTTATATGATGACATGCAAGTCACCAAAAAATATTTGTTTTCAAAATTTTAACTCGAGTTCATGCTTAAGAATCCGAGTTCATAAATGAAAACATATTCAGTATATGTATAAGAATCACTATCTGAAATCACATGCACAATCCGATCCGACAATAACATAACACTTAGAATGTTCAAAATCAAGGGAATCGACAATAACAAGACAGTTAAGGCATTAACGAGCATGTGAAAACATCAATAATTCTAATCAAAGCCAACCGACAGCAAAATCAAGCCCTAACAACTTATTTAGACAAGAATTGCAATATACTCATATTTTAATCCAACAACCCATAAATATGAGAAAAGTATGATTTAGATCTCACCAACGTCCTGTAAAGGGACGTGTTCGTAGGGACGATCGGAATTGGTAAATGGTAGGTTCCACATCGTACTCGTGCTCGTCCTCATCCTCAGAGTCGAGGACAAATCCAAGCTCAAACCAAATATTGCCAGCTTCGGTAGGGACTGCAACGCCACCTTCCAACCCCTCGTCCTTTACCGGTGAACTTCGAGGACGAGGAGCAGTTGCAGGCGTGGTTTCACAAATCGGAGGACTAACGTCGAGATCCAGTCCGAGATCGAAGGGCTCTCCCGTGTCCGGCACCCACCCACCGTTGTCTTCACATGCACCAAGCTTTTCGCCAAAAAAAATTACCAAATCGCCGTCGCCGGAGTAAAGACCAGAAAAGAGGGCGTTGTAACGCGATTTAGGGTTTTCGATTAGAGAATACCCACAATTAGGGCAGCAAAAAACCACGGTGGGGATAGGGTGTCGATCCCTCGGAGTCGGAGCAACAATCGATGGCGCGACAACATCGGCAGACAAATGCGTCGTTCCATGGAAGGGTTTTCCAGATCGCGGACAGAGAAAGAAGATAAATGCGATGCGAGTATCTGGTTAAGTTTGTGGGTAATATTAAAATAATTAAAATATGGGTAGGTGGGGGTAGTAAATAGGTATAATTATGTTTAGATTAGGATTTTTAGTTAATGTTTAAAGTGTGTAATTTTTTGCCAAAAATGGAAAGTAACAAATTAAGTAGGATGGATGAAAATGACAACGTGGACATGATATTTGGAACGAAGAGAATATATTTTTGTTGAGTTGTTGATTTTTGTAAGTAAATAGAATATATATATATATTATATTGTGTTTATTGTATATATTATATTTTTTTGTAATATATATGAAAAATAGTGCAATCCAAAAATAAATTGACTCAACAAACCCTAATTTCATTAAAGAAGATGCTTTATATTTCAGTGAGGTAAATTCAAGTAGAAATCCATTCCTCCATGATCCCTCCATACAACAAAGAAATAAATGTGTGAACATATATATATATATATATAATTTTAAGGCAAATAAAATTTAACAAGACTAAACCCCACCAGATTACAATTAATGAACACATTAAGAATTAATCACTTAAAATTATTCGATTCGATAGTCGATCCCATTTACAGATGTACAGTTTCCTTCATCGAAGCCGTCTCCTCACGTTTCATCAATTTTGTGTACTGCAACAACTCACAAAATTAAATTCATCGATATATTGAAAAACACTATATAATATGTCTATTTTTTATTAGCTTAAATTTTTAGGTGAGATTATAATTAAATATAAATTATAATAATTACCTGTGAAGTCTTGAGCTCGAGCTCCTGCCATTCCATGGAAGAATCGCTTCCTTCGACAATTCCGGTTCCGGCGTAGAGCAATGCTCCGATGTCTTTTCCGACCAAAGCTGATCTTATTCCCACAGCAAATTCACTCTCAGAACCACCAAAGTATCCAACTGGCCCAGCATACATTCCTCGATCAAACATCTCTGCATTCCATTACAATTTTTGATTAATTAATTTGAAAATCGTAATATTGTTTGATTTATTGTATGTAGGAAGTCGTAAGTTTGTTGTTATTGTAATATAATTACCTGTATCTGCGATCAGTTGTCGAGCGTCTTCTGCAGGAAGGCCACAGACAGCTGGAGTTGGGTGAAGAGAAGACAGTACTCTAAACTGCAAAATTGATGCAGATTGTGCCGATTGAGATGGCGTGAAAATTTGTCGATCAAAGTCGAATAAAATTTTATTAATAAAAGAAAAAATTGAATTGAAAATAAGCAATTAAATAATTCCTTCATCAGGTAAAAATAGTCCATTTGGATTGAGCACAAGATTAAAAAGATCAATATTTTATATTAAAAAATGATAAAAGTGAAAACAGAAAATTAAAAAAAAAAAGTAATGGATGGTATTTTTAAAAAATTTAGTTAGTAATTAAAGATGATGAAAATAGAATGTACATAAGTAATTCTGAATTAATGTTGAATAGAGACTAATATTTAAATATTGAAAAAATTAATTTTGTCAAAATTAATAATAACCTAAATTTAAATAAGATTAAGATTAAATTTGAAAGACGAAATAAGTATTTATATAGGAAACCCTAAAATCGAAATTATAAAGATTTAAAACCCTATAAAAAGACGTAGAAAAAAAAATACTACTTCGTCCGTCCCAACTAATTTGTCTCATGCTTAGACACTAGAGTTTTAGGTATTGTGTAATTAGTAACTAATTAAGGAATATAGTAGTGAAAATAATTATAATGTAATAAAAATAATTATAGATTAAGAGTAGGATGACTAAATAGTTTAACTAAATTTTTTTTAAAAAAAAATTATAAATTATGAATTTTAAAATGCGACTAAAGTGTATAATTATATTTTTAAAAAATAAAATGACAAATTATGTGGGACGAAAGAAAATAGAAATAATTGACAAATTTAATAGGACGAACGAAAATAGAAAGAATTGACAAATTAAATGAGACGAATGAATTAGTATTTGATATGCTATGAGTGTGGTTCATTTTGACAAATGGCTTAAAAATTATCAAATTAATTATGTTTTTATTATGATCTTAATTATTTATAGTGAAATGGAGAATTAATTAATTTTGATAATTATATATATGTATATATATACCTCATCGTCTTCTTGCTTGAGTTTTCCGGTGAGCTTAGCATAAAGATGTTGAACACGTGGAAGTTTCCGGAGAGATTTGCTCGGTTCGACTATTGTTTGGGAGCATATCTCCTCGAACTTTCTTCTTATGTTTTCTCTTACGACCGTGAACTCCACGTGATCTTTCTTACTACAAATCAATTCAAGAGAAAATCCAAAATAATTTAATTGTGCATAAAAACTACACATACAATGCAAGAAGATTTGGATAATTAGATGATGTTAGAATGAAGAATATATACCTTGTAAGCAAATCATGTCCAATTTGCAGATCTAAAGGCTCAGTCTCACCCCTTCTTCGTGTAGCTGCCAAAGCCTCGCTGCACACACTCAGTTCATCCCTATGGAATAGTCTCTCCGGCTATTCAGAAAAAAAAGAAGAAAAAAAGAAAAAAAAAAATTGTTGTCAATTGCATGAATTGAGATAATCAAATAAGGAAAAACTTGACAAACAAAATCGAAGGTAATTTTATTGATGAAAGTGAATAATAGAAATAGCATATAAACAACCGAATATATTTATAGCTTCGAAAACCCTAAGTGTGTGTTCGTTTGGGATTAAGATTTTGAATTTAAATGATTGTTTGATATTATATAAATAGAGGGGATCCGGTGCTGAACCTATACTGAATGGTTAAAAATTATTTATTTTAATTTATATCATTTAATAATATAATTATATATAATTAATGGTTAGTTTCAGCATGGGTGTTAAATTAAAATATTAAGATCTAAAGTTGTAATAATATAAATATGTGTTGATGTGATTTTTTAACATAAAATTAGCCTTTTGCGTAATATTAAAAAAATAAATGTTTAATATCTATTTTTAAGGGGAAAAAAAAAAGAAAATCATTAATAGAGAAAAAATCTATTAAAAAAAAAATCTCGAACAAGCACACTATAGAATCCAGAAAAAGCCAAAAATTTATTTGGTTGCAATTTAACATTGATTTGAAATTGAGTGTTGAATTGAGTTTTTATTTAACTAGTATTTTGATAGGATATCTTATGAGATAAAATAATGTATTTTTATTTAAAACTAATTGAATAAGTATTGATTTTGGTTTGAATTGTTTAAAAAAAAAAAAAAAAGACACCAAGAAAATTGCATAAAAAAACCTAAAAAAATAGAAAATACTGGATGTGTTTGTTCGGGGGTTTGGATTTTGAGTTGGGATTTGAATAATAAAAATTTTGAATTTGAATAGTTGTATTATGTGATATAAATAGGTGTTGATGCAATGTGTTGAATATAAAATTGATTTGTAGTATAATATAAAAAAATTAAAAATAGGTGTTTAATTTGATATTTTTGGGGAAAAAAATGGGATAAATAGTGTATTTAAAATCCAATCCCCCAAACAAACACACCCTTAAGTGTTTGTTTGTTTGTTTATTTGTCAAATTAATCATGAAATTTCATCCCATTCCGAGCCAAAAAGACCAAAATATCAACAAATTAATTGCATCACACTATATATAGATATATATATATATAGAGAGAGAGAGAGAGAGAGAGAGAGAGAGAGAGAGGGTTTCTTACAGTGTTTCCTATGAATGCAGGCGACTGGGGAGGCTGAAGGCAAAACTGATAAGCTTTATCACCTTCAGATTTGAGTGTATTAAGCCATTCCAATGGATCGATTTCGACATCTGTCAAAACTCTGCTGCTACGTGCAAGAACAACCTTCAGTAGAGACGTATCTTCCCTCCTTATCATCTCCAAAGCTTTATTAATGGCTGAATCCCAACAGCCTTTGTTCGGGACATGACTCTGGTGAAGCAAAACTGCATCGCCTGTTCTTCCATTTAATTTCTTTCTTACAACCGACGACGAAATCTGCCAAAGTGTGTCCTCAAGTGCACCAATCGCCTCCTCGTACGTTCGTGACAAATGATTGTCCCATGCGATCGTCGCTGCGATCATCGAGCTCCCTTCGAACTCGTCGAATTCGACCTACAATTGGGGTTGAGACAGCATTGTAATAAAAGAAAAATAGATGTATGATTTGATGTATAAATAATTTGATGTGATATTTTGGGAATGGTTTCTACCTGAGGTACCATGAAATAGAATGAACCAAATCCCTCCCATTCTGACGAAATATCCGACCTTCCGTCGAAGCGGATCGCACCGTAAGCTCGGATCAACGGAGAGTTCTTCGACAGGAATCTGAAATCAATTAAAATAAAATTTTGGAAATTAGGGTTTCTATTTGATTTTAGATTATTATCTATACATTTATGTATTAGGGTTTCTAAATTTATAAATTAGGGTTTCTATTAGATTTTAGATTATTATCTATACATTTATGAATTAGGGTTTCTAAATTTATATAAATTTAGGGTTTCTATTAGATTTAGATTATTATCTATACATTTATGAATTAGGGTTTCTAAATTTATAAATTAGGGTTTCTTTTAGATTTTAGATTGTATTGATGTACATAGGGAAGGAAAATAATAGCAAAATACTGAAATACCGAATTTACCTTACTAAAAAAGTATCGAAAATATCAAAATTTTGAAATACTTTAAAAAAAAAATTAGTATATAAATATAATTTCCAAACCACATATAGATTATTAGTTTGATATTTTAGTATTCACTATATTAGTATATCTATCCATAAGGAATATAAAATTAGAGTTTTTCAAATTTTTCCAAAAAGTATTTTAATTTTAATATTTTGGTTTGATTGAGTGTATAATATTGTAGAGGAAAATTGACACGACATGATAATCCGATATAGAATAATTAGGTTTGGATCGATAATTTTGATTATGTATGCAATATGATCTCGATAAGATAATAAACAAATCATGTCAGGATTGAGGTCCTCTACCCGAACCCAACACAACTCATTTATAATATATGAATATTAATTAATATATTTATTATATTTGTAAAATAATTTTTTCAAACAATATTAATTTAAATTGAACACAATTTAAATATATTATTTTTAATAATTTTACTATTTATTGTGTATATATGTACGACTATTTTTTATTAACTTTTTTTTATTATTATTTGATTATAGTTTTATTTGTAAAATTTTTTAAATGGATACACGGGTCGATTTGTTGGGGTCATTGCTATATAAACTATTGAGCTATCTCTATCTATCTATATATATATATATAAATTTGTGTGTATATATAAGTATTATAGAAGAGATAGATAGATAGATACCTTTTGATGCAATGCCAATCGTCCAAAGAGAAAGGAGTGAGCTGTCGGAAGGATACAGCAGAGCCGAGGCCGGCAACACTGAGGAGCTTCTTGCAATTAATATCATTTTCATGGTCGCCATTGATATTACCGTCAAAGTTTTGGATCTTGGGGATATTAATATTAATATTTGCAGGCTCCCGACCAGAGAAATAACAGCGTGGCAGAACAGTACTGCTACTGTCTGCTTGGGATCGAAGCCAATCCAGAGATTCAATCTTCTGCTCGATTGGAACCTTTAACACCAAATATTATTTCATAATTAAATTACTTTTTAATTACCTTTCTAAATTTAAAATTCCATCAAATAAATAAATAAATAATAACAATAAATAGGGTTTATTTGTTTAGTGTTTTGATTTGAAATTTTATGTTTTATTTTCTCGGTCCAGTTAAAAAGTATACATATTTTTATTTTGGCATGTCCAATTACAAAGTAAAGATTTTATTAAATACCTCATTCTTTTTTTTACAAATACTCTTACTTTACATCACATCGTTACTTTTACACCAAAAACAAGGGCAAAAATATCATTACATTACTTTTAACTACCCACTATAATTAAAATACTATTATTTCTTAAACATCGCGCCAAAAAACAAATATATACTTTGTACGTGGACGGAGGGAGTATATAATATATAAAGAATTGTGTAAATAATATAAAAAAATAATATTTTATAATAATTTTTGACTTTTGTGAAAAAATAAAATATATATCGTATGGGAAAAATAATATTGAAGAGCAAAGTCTATATTACACTATGATTCCATATACTCCCTCCGTCTCTAATCTATCTATTCGTTTGTTTTTTGCACTGAGTTTTAGGAATACTAGTATTATATTACGGTGTAGTATGAATAAAGTAGAAAAAATCAAAATAACCTTATTAGTATGTGTGATATAAAAGTAATGACGTTAGTGTAATATATTGTAAGTCGTAAGGATATTTTTAATGTTATTACAAAGTATAGTTACAAAAAAAAATGAAATTGATACTTTGTTATTTGACTTACCAAAATAGAAAAATGAATATATTATTAAGGGACGAACAATTGATACTGTAATTTGTTGCATGGCAAAAAAATGGCCATGTTTTTCTTTAGAATCTTTAAAAGAAATGGGGTTTTGAATTTATTTATTTAATTACTACAAAAAGATATCATTTTTGTAACGAAATTTTTTTTTTCTCTAAATTTACTTTTTCCATTACTAATGATATTAGATAATGAATTAGAGATGTAATTATATTAGCTACTTAAACTTTAGGGACGAAATCTCGTTACAAATATAAACTTTTATTTTTGTAGTGAATGTTTAGATACTATAAAAAAGAAAATTCGAAAAAATTAAAATTTATTTCCAGCGGCTAACCTGAATACGAATGATGCCGGAATCGACGTGTGGCGGATTATTCTTGAGATCAAAAATGGCGGCATGTAAGCGATCGGCTGCCACAGCCGTCGTCGCCGCGACGGGAAATGTTCGAGTCTCAATGGTCCCTAGAGGAGCTCTCGAATCGCCATGGCACCCATTCATTGAAGAACTCAGTTCTTCGTATTTCTAAATACATATATATATATATATATATAATTAATAATTAAATAAATATATATACTCTCAATAATAAAAATAAAAATAAATATTAAAAATACACTGTTTTCTTACAGGAGTAGCTGAGAATTTGATGGATTCTTTCGTGAATGAATAGGAGCATTTGATGGAATCTTTTTTGTTGAAGAAACCAATGATTGAACACTTAGCAGCAACAGCCATTACAGTGTTTTTTTTAAATTTGTAATAAAAATAGATTGAAGAAATTAAACCTAAGTGTAATTAAGAACACTTTGCCTTTTGGCTTTTATGTTCTTGTGGTAAGAATGAGACACACACTCCTACTAGTGTGCAATACATATATATATATATATATATACACATAGAAGTACAGGCCATGCCTTAGAATTGAACAAGTCAATTAAAGGCCAATTATAAATAGCCACTCCCTATGACTAAATAAGGACAGAAATTATTATTATTATTATTATTATTATTATTATTATTATTATTTTATTTATTTATTTTTTACTTATAATAGTGGTGAGCATCGTGGGCGGATGTATGCGGGCAGAGGGAACTCCAAGCCCCTCCCCTTACCCCACCGTCTTTTAATTTTTAATTTTTAATTTTTAAATTTTTGTTTTTATCTTATAATATATAATATAAAAAATAATAAATAAATTAAAAAATTGCTAAAAATTGCTAAAAATTAATAGAGTATTTATGTAAAAATTTAAATTTTAAATAATAAAAAAAAATTATATCATAATAATTGTTTGATGCTATAAAAATAGATATGAACAAAAAAGTACTACCTCCGTCCCACATACCGTGTCTCTGCTACACTGTAAACACGGTATTTTAAGAGGAGTGTAATCAGTAGATAATTAAAAATGTATTAGTGAAAATAATTATCCGATAATATAAATAATTATAAATTAAGATTAAGATAATTAATTAGTTTAATTAAAATTTTAAAAAAATAAAATTAAAATGTTTAAAATGAGATTAAAGTGTGTAATCATTTTCCAAAAAAGGAAAGTGACATGGTACGTGGGAGGAACAGAAACGACAACGTGGACATGGTATGTGGGACGGAGGGAGTAATAAATAATAATTAAAAAAAATCTTCAAAAAATTCTCAACCAAATACACAGGAGATGATATTTTTAAGAGCTATTTTTTTTAATAATATGTTTACTATTTATCAATTTCATATAATACAAAATTCATGTTGTCACTGTAGATTGATATTTTGCAATTTTCGAATTATAATAACTTCATTGATAAAATTATTAGATAACAAATAGATGATGATCGTTTCAAAATTTGAAAAATTAACGTCCCTCTCGTTCCAGTCTGGTTCCGCCTCTGGTAGGCATCCAATATTGAATTATTATTATTATTATTATTATTATTATTATTATTATTATTATTATTATTATCATATTTTGATTTAATTGTTGTCTTTTGCATGTGAGATTGATCTTGACGTAATCTTGGCCAGTAGGGTTATAATAATTAAGTTCTTGGGATATCTAATTAATTAATGCCAAAAAAAACGCATTAATTAATTAACTAAGTAGGGAGAAACTAGTTTGAAAGAATAAAGAATAATTGATGTTTGGTGGAAGGAGTCCACTATGGATTGAATTTTATAAATATAAGTATATTGGAATAAATATAATTTTAGTCTTTTTTTTTTCAATTAAATTTATGTTTTTTTTCATTTAAAAATATTCTTGTTTTTTTTTATTAAAAAAATACTATTTTTCTTGTTTCATAAGAAAGAGTTTTATTTTTTATTTTTTCTATCTCAAAACAAGAGTACAATTTCCTCGTGTAGTGATTGTACTATTTACCTAATATAATAATTATTTTTCAATTTATAAAATATTACACAGTACTAATAACGGTACTTTCATTTTTTTCTTTTTTTTTTTTGCACTATAAACTAATATAATACTAATATTAAAAATTTATATGCATAAGGTAAATATTATCCTTTTTTATGGGACGGAGAGAGTACTATATTTTTTTTTTTACTATAAAAAGAAAAAAAATACTTTTACCAATATTTCTTAAAACTCGTGCCCGATTAAATAAATATAACTTTTGATGACGAAGGTAGCATATAGAAATCATTTTTTACATATTTCGTAGTCGCTAAAAATATCATTTAATACCATAACATTTTCATGTGTGTTGCGTAAACACTACAAGAAAATAACTTTTTTGTAATAAAATTTTTGTTCATAAATCTATTTTTTTCGTTACTAATGACATTAATGATAAAATTAAAGTTTACGTAGCTAATACCAATCGTTCCTAATTTCTGTTAGAAATATATATATATATTTTTTTAGTAAAGTCATATAGGCTAACCGCGTGATAATTTCATTGAATTTTTAATTTTGTTAAAGTCTTTATAGATCAAGAGGTAAAATATTCCGAGTTTGAGAGCTATAATATTGGTGGGTGTATCTATGTGGGGTAAAGAAAAATATTAAATCTAATTTATAAATAAGTTAATATACAAATATATATTTTTTATAAATATCAAAATTTAAATCCATGTTAATATTTGGTTTAAAAAATTGCATGTCTATTTTCTAGCCAATGTTAGCTTTGGCAGTATTATATCATTACCATTGTGGCAAGATTCCAATATCTGATAATTTTATTTTGTCAGTTAAATAATTAAAAGGAAAAAAATTATTTTTGATCCTAATATAATCAAAATTCATCGATTTTGATTTCAATATAGAAATTTTATCAATTTTGATCTCAATATAATCAAACTTACTATTTTTTGTCTCAATATAATCAAAACTCATCATTTTTTGTCCCAATATAATCAAAACTCATCATTTTTTAATTTTTATCAATTTTAGTCCCAATATAACAAAAACTCATTATTTTTTGTCTCAATAAAATCAAACTTTATCTTTTTTTGGTTCCACCGTCAACAAACCGACAGAAAATGCTCAGGTGAAAAAAAAAATCAGACTTTATATTTATATCGAAGAAATTGCGCAATCTTGCAAGTCCATGTCAGCATTTTCCGTCAGTTTGTTGACGGTGGGACCAAAAAAGATAATGTTTGATTATATTGGGACAAAAAAATTATGAGTTTTGGTTATATTGTGACTAAAATTGATAAAAATTTTATATTTGGACCAAGAATGATGAATTTTAGTTATATTGAGACAAAAAAATTATAAATTTTGATTATATTATGACCAAAAATAATTTTTTCCCTAATTAAAATGATAATCTCATAATATAATAATTCATCCTTCTCATATCTATTGCCTAATTTATTGCAAGATTTCATGACCAATGAATTTATTTATTTATTTTTAAATGACTACAAATTAAAATGATAATCTTATAATATAATATATTATACATCTCATATCTATTTTCCAATTTTACCTCGTTTCAAATCAATTATCTGATTATTATAAAAAATTATATTACCATATAACTTTTCTTACTTTTGATGAAGATTACTAGTATATAAATATCACTATTTTAATACATAAATTAAAATATAGGGTAAACTGTTTTTTTTAGTCCCGTAACTTGACCCTCTTATCATTTTAGTCATGTAAGTGGAGCCTGTCACAAACTAGTCCCATAAGTGAAAAATTTTCGTTGTTTTAGTCCTCCGGCGCCGGAGATGCCCACGTGGCTCGCCGGAGGTGACGTGTCCGCCAGGTGTCGCTGACCTAGCGGGCACGTGGATTTTTTTATTTTTTTTTTAAACTTATTTTTAAATTTTTTTTTTTTATTTGGTCCAATTAAAAAAATAAAAAAAATGAAAAAATAAAATAAATCCACGTGTCCGCCAGGTGTCGCTGACTTGGCGGGATACCTGGCGGACACGTCACCTCCGGCGAGCCACACGGGCGTCTCCGGCGCCGGAGGATTAAAACAGCCAAAATTTATCAGGATTAGTTTGCGACAGGCTCCACTTACAGGACTAAAATGATAAATTGGTCCAGTTACGGAACTAAAAAATCAGTTTACCCTAAAATATATTTTCACAATGACAAAAAAGGACTTTTTGTATATTAATATTTTTAAAATTTTGTGCCACAAAACTAAATCCCAATTGATTTGGTATGAAAGAAGTATATGATATCCTTATTTGTTGTATATATATAAAACGCTCATTTTTCTTATTTGTATGTTATATATAAAAATAAAAAAAAATTTAAAAAAAAAACAAAACACACTAATTTTTTTTTATTTGTATGTTATAAAAAAAAAAAAACATTTGTTTATTTTTTTGCAAAAAAATCATACCACCTTTTATTATGTAATTATTATTTTTATGTTCATTTTTTCCAAAGAGTTTGAAGTAGGAAACTTTTTTTTTATTTCGATTCGAAATTGTTTGAATTTCATAAATATTTTAAATAATTCCTTGTAAGTAGAATCAAAATATTTTGGTAGTTTTTTTCTCTTATTATTATTATTATTATTATTACTCCCTCGTCCCACATACTATGTCTGCTACACTGTAGACACAGTATTTCAGGAGGGGTGTAATCAGTAGATAATTAAGAATATATTAGTGAAAATAATTATTCGATAATATAAATAATTATAAATTAAGATTAAGATAACTAATTAAAATTAAAAAAAATTAAAAATTTTAAAATGAGATTAAAGTTTGTAATCATTTTCCAAAAAAGAAAAGTGACATGAAATGTGTGACGGACAGAAACGGCAACGTGGACATGGTACGTGAGACGGAGGGAGTATTTTTTATTGTGAATAACGACCTCCGAGCCCTACTACACATATTTAGAGTAGGAATAATTTTCAACCTTTGTTTATATTATAATTTACATCATAATGACTAATTAATTTTACAAATAGCATTATATAATTATTAAAAATGCCAACAAACTTTGACGTTTATAGTTTATGTAAAATAAATAAGATATATGCAATACAAAATTTGGTGTGTATTTTTAGATTTAGTTATAAAAATTTCAATTCAATCTTTTTTTAAAAATAAAAAATAAAAAATAGATTTAATTATTATTTGTATACAAATATTACGTTCAACATTGTGTTCCTTAAAATATCAATATAAAATATACAAAACACTACTATACAATTACATTTTATGAATTCTTTAGCAAAAATATTTTTTTATGTCATATTTATATATACATATATATGACCGTGTGAAAAAAAATCATTTTTGGTTTCAATGTATCCAAAATGCATCAATTTTGGTTCAAATATAAAAATCTTATTAATTTTGGTTTCAATATAACCAAAATTCATCATTTTTGTGTC